CCACCATGGAGATACTGAAAACCAAAACAATGTTTGGTATCTAGATTTGAGAGCCAGTAATCACATGTGTGGTAAAAGAGAGTTGTTCGTCGAGCTTAATGAGACTATACAAGCACAAGTCTCATTTGGTGATTCTTTAAAGAGTCCAGTGAAAGGAAGAGGCAACATTTTGATCAAGCTCAAGAATGGAGATCATGATTACATCTCCAATGTTTATTATGTTCCTGCCATGAAGAATAACATTTTGAGTATGGGACAACTCCTAGAGAAAGGATACGATATCAGCATGAAAATTGTCATCTTACCATCAAAGACAATTATGGTAATTTGATCGCTCAGGTGAGAACGTTCAAGAATCGGATGTTTGCATTGAACATCCAACATGATGCTGCGAAGTGTTTAAGTGCCATCATCAAAGACAAAGACTGGCTATGGCATTTGAGGTTTGGACATCTCAACTTTGAAATCTTAAAGCTGTTGTCAAGCAAGAATATGGCGAAAGAGCTCCCTCATATTGCTCATACTAATGAAGTCTATGAAAGTTGCATTCTTGGCAAGCATCATAGAACAAGCTTTGCCAAAGAATTGGAAAGCCTCAAAGCTGCTGCAGCTAGTACACACCGATGTGTGTGGTCCATTGAAACCAGTATCAAATGGACAGAATAGATACTTCCTTACATTCATTGATGACTACAGTAGGAAGACATGGGTGTACTTCCTCAAAAACAAGTCGGAGGTATTCAACATCTTCAAAGAATTCAAAGCTTTTGTTGAGAAACAAAGTGACTACTATATTAAGATGTTGCGATCAGATCAAGGAGAAGAGTGTACATCAGATGTTTTCAAGAATTATTGCAAAGAGCATGGCATCAAGCATCAAACAACACCATTCTATACGCCACAATTGAATGGTGTTACTGAAAGGAAGAATCGCACAATCTTAGATATGGCAAGGAGCATGTTGAAAGGAAAGGGACTGCCCAAACAATTTTAGGCTGAAGCCGTATCATGTGCTATGTATCTGTTGAACAGATGTCCAACTAAGAGTCTTCACTCCATGACTCCAGAAGAAGCTTGGAGCTCATTCAAGCTGAGTGTCAACCATCTCAGAGTATTTGGTTGTGTTGCATACATGAAGATTCTAGAAGCAAGAAGAACCAAGCTTGATGACAAAGGAGAAAAATGTATCATTGTTGGATATGGTGATAGAACAATGTGATACAAGTTATACAATCCCGTCACCCAGAAGGTGATCATGAGTAGAGATGTGATCTTCGAAGAAGAAGAAGAAGCTTGGAATTAGAATAAAGATGAAGCTGTTAAAGATGTGGAGCTTATTATTGAAGATGAAACATTAGAAGTGCCAGTTGAAGCTCCAAGAGTTCAAGATGAGCCACAAACTCCTTTACATAGAATACCTGCACCTAGATCGCCAGTTTCTCACAAAAGTGATGCATCATCATCATCAGATGATAGTTTTTCAAACAACCAAGACTAATGAGAAATTTGCAGGAGATATATGAAACTACAGAAGAAGAAGATCTGAATTTGTTCTGCCTACTTGCAGATAGTGATCCACTTACTTTCGAAGCCATCCAAGAAGATAAATGGAAGAAAGCAATGGATGAAGAAATTCATGCCATTGAGAAAAATGACACATGGAAGCTTACCAGTCTATCGAAGGGACACAAACCCATTGGAGTGAAATGGGTATACAAGACAAAGAAAAATGCACAAGGTGAAGTGCAATGCTACAAGGCAAGATTAGTGGCAAAAGGCTACATGCACAGAGCTGGAATTGATTATGGAGAGGTGTTTACTCTAGTTGCCCGGTTGGAGACTATCAGGCTAATGATTTCTTTGGCTGCCCAACACAAGTGGCAGATCTATCAACTTGATGTGAAATCTGCATTTCTTAATGGTTTTCTTGAAGAAGAAATCTATATTGAACAACCTTCAGGGTATGTTCAGAATGGGCATAAAGACAAAGTATACAAATTGAAGAAAGCGCTTCATGGATTGAAGCAAGCTCCGTGTGCATGGAATACTAGAATTGATCAGTATTTTCATGACAATGGTTTTGAAAAATGCCCATGTGAGCACACACTATATTTGAAGAAGGAAGCTGATGGAAGCACGTTGCTTGCTTGTCTTTATGTTGATGATCTAATTTTCATTGGAAACAATCCAGTCATGTTCAAAGAATTTAAAAGAAGCATGGTCCAATAATTTGAAATGATAGATATTGGCTTGATGGCTCATTTTCTTGGCATTGAAGTGGCACAAAGAAAAGATGGAATTTTTATGTCCCAAAGTGGCTATGCCAAGGAAATTCTAGAGAGATATGGAATGGAGAATTGCAATCTTGTGAACACTTCTGTAGACAGTGGAGTGGAGCTCAAAAAAGGTACAAAGGCGGGTGATGTGGATCCAACTTATTTCAGGAGCTTAGTTGGAAGTCTTCGCTATCTTACTTGCATTAGGCTAGACATACTCTATGGAGTAGGACTGATTAGCAGATATATGGAAACATCATATCAGTCACACCTTTATGCAGCAAAGAGGATTCTTCGCTACATCAAAGGTACAATCGATGATGGTTTATTCTATAAACCCACTGATAATTTCAGTCATGTTGGCTATTCAGATAGTGACTGGGGACGTAACTTAGATGAACGAAAGAGTACTACTGGGTTTGCTTTCTTTATGGGAAATATAGTGTTCACTTCGTCGTCCAAGAAGCAAGCTATTGTGACACTGTCAACTTGTGAAGCGGAGTATGTTGCAGCCAACTCAACTGTGTGCCATGCAATTTGGTTAAGAAATGTGCTGAAGCATTTAGGATTTCCACAAGAAAATCCTACTGAGATCTATGTTGATAATTGCTTAGCAATTGCATTAGCAAAGAATCTAGTTTATCATGAAAGACGTAAACATATTGACACCCGCTATCATTTCATCCGAGAGCATGTGAAAAATAAAGAGGTGGCATTATTTCCTTGCAAATCTCAAGATCAACTTGCAGATATTTTCACGAAGCCATTGAAAAATGATCTGTTCAACAAAATGAAGATGATGCTCGGGATGAGACAGCATGAAGAATCAAGATTAAGAGGGGATGTTGTGAAGTAATCTTGCTTCACCGCCAACCTATAATGAAAGTCTTTCTTTTCCGTCGGCCTAGCTAAGAATAGAAACATGGAGGCTGAAATCAAGTTTTTCAACAATGATTGGCTGCAACTGTATAAAATTTATAGCCTTAGCTACATTTGCATTTAATGGTTTTACATTGTGTAGTTTATCTATAAATAGCCTATGTATGGTAGAGATCAGAGTGTGGGAGAAAGAAGAGAGTTAGAGAGAAAGAGTTTGTTTATCCTCTTCAGTGTACTCTAAATATTTGAGTGAAATAAATTTATTTTTAGATTATAAATCCTCTCTCTTGTATTTGTTTTTGTGAACTACCATAAGTGGTTTACACCCCACTTCCACCAACAAAATCGTCCAAAAGTCATTTATTTCCATTGTTTTTTGAGGGTCAAGAGTCTCAAACTAAGGGACTTGAAGATATAATACGGGAAGCCACACATAAACATCAATGATTCATAGTTATAGTCTTTTATTTCCAATGCCAACAAATGCAATTTCCCACAAAGCTATTAACTATTAAATCAGAGATCTAATTGACAAAGTGGACATTTGTTTTTTGTAACCCAAATCCTCCAAATGACTCCAATAGAAGGCACCATTTTATGCCACCAAAGAGCTAGCTATTGAGCTAAGGTACATGATGACACATAAGGCACCCATTTTGCATGACCAAAAGGTCGGCCTCTACTAAATATCGTTGGTTCATAAATTACGTTTACTACTTAATGTAGAAATGACAGTTATAACAACAAAACAATGATGATATAAATAGGTAGTTGGGCTAAGGGTAGTAAGCTTACCCAACAAAAAGGATCATAATATTATAAATGACATATAATAATTCACCAAATCCGTTAGTTCACTTTGCCCTCAGAGAAAAGAGAAGCATTCCATGCTTCCCAAATTGTTACTACCATCACTATTCCATTATGCCCATATGTACATGACATGCAACAAATAATTTATATGTGCACAACAAATTAAAGCCCCAATATAACAATATAAACAATAAAAAAATCAATATACCGGGAAATGATAACTTATGGTTCCAATTATCACTTTTTAAGCCCATTGTGAGATTCCATTGATGTTGATATGATCCATAATTCCATACTCTACATTTATGTGAGAATGTAAGTTCCATTGAGGATTAAAAAAGAAAATAAGATGACCTGTTGTCATTTGTTGCTAGTTTTGGTACTTGTAACTGAGTAACATAATAGTTTGTTTTATTTACAGCTAGCTTGGGATAGTTCCAAGAATGCATTCGTGCTAAAAATCAATTAAACATAAAAAAAGAACCCTAATTGCCTGCATAAGAATAGTAACTAATCAAGCATGCTCTTTTTCTGGTATGAATAACATAAATAAAGTGCTTATTCATATAGAAATCATATAGATGCAGAGAATGGGAAAAATGAAGAAAAATAATATAAGTAACAAGAAAATGGTGTTTCTCTGCAATCGTTTAGATTAACACTTCTCCTGCAAGAAAAGGGAGGCAACAACAAAGCATTTACAGACTAGCGTGTATGAATAATCCAAATATGTTATATAAGTAACGATAGATTTGTTGGATAATAATGCAACTTCGGAGATAAATAAAGAAATCCTTCTCCCCTGTTCTTTACTCAATTTTGTCAACCAAGAAACTATCGACATTAGATACTGTAGAAATATTATAAATTGGAGCTGTCAAGTAAGATCAATCTCCTTTATACCAGCTTCAGATTTCCTATTGAAGATCATGATAACCTAAAGCTTAGCTTGAAAGGTGCCACCATGTCAATGCCAATTCCATTCACAATTACAAAGCACCCCACACGAAGATATATAATAGCAATTTGGCATGAAAAATAATAATAGAAGAGAATTTGATACGTTAAGAATTGCATAAAAGAAGTCACCTGATAAACATAATCAGTTCCTTGGGGAGAACTATCACCCACATTGCTCAAAAAAGTACATTAGAGAATATACATCTTCACTTAGGTAAAGTGTTAACTACATAAAAAAGCTATTATATCTATAAAGTAGAGATAGGTAAACAACTAAAAGCTAAATATTGGATTATGGTACTTTGAAGGGCTTCACAGTTTGCCTCTTTCATCAATTTGATCCTTTGACTCAGCCACAACCTGACATGGGAAAAAAAATGTCTTTGTCATATAAGACATTTACATAATGTCATAGTTAATACTATAATAGTCCTTTGGAAGAGATGCTAAATAAGAAACAACTCATAGTAAAAACAAATTAGCAACATATTAACATTTAATTGAGGAAATATTTATGCAATGACAAGCTTTGACATTTGAGTATGACTATGCCAATATAAGGACAATAATTTAAGAGGTATGTATCTTGCTTGTTCTTCATGCTCTTCCTCAGTTTGCCATTTCCCCTTCAGCATCTTCTTCTCTCCACAATTTGGCTGCCTCCCAAATTCTCCATTTACTAGGTCCAGTAAGACTAGACTCTTCACGAAATTATGCACATAGAATGAGATTGGACTTCCAGTGACTCTGAGATTTTTCAATTGTTCACTTTTGGGGTCATACGGAACCAAAGTGTCAATTTCTCGGTACGAAGTTATTTTCTTCATTAATGCCTCACCGTTCTTTATGAATCCAAACACTCCCCGCAAGCCTTCTTTAAGATCAACAGTGAATTGTTTGGTCCAAGATTCAGGTACATCATATTGTTTCATCGCCCAATGCAACACGTATCACCATACAAAGACGAAGTAAAATGAATCACAGAAAGACATTCTTCAAGCACGGCAACACGACTCTGCAAAGATGGAAAAGATAAACCCTCTGTCACCATGATCACACCAAAGACCTCATTACCCATATCAAACGACACAATCAAACTACCAGAAGGACCACCCAACTTATTCGGATAATGCCCAACCCAATGGGCAGCCCCATTGAGAAAAGCCTACGAACTACGTTCACCAACAACATAAGGAAACCCCATAGGATTAACACTTCTCCAAGAGCCTGTGGTTAGCTCATAAATCTCAACCTTGGGTGGAGCCTTGTACCCGCAAGTCTCTTGGAGATGCACAACCTTGACTACTTTGCAATCATTATTGGCAACATTGAAGCCAAACCCAATAGATTGCATAAACAGAGCGTGCGAATTAAAGGTGATGCGAGGCCACGGAAGGTTCACATACTTCCTCATGGATGGATTCCACAAAATCATGGTGTGATTATAATAGAACTGGTCATCAGACAAGCATAACAACCCATTGGAACACCCAATTACCCTAAAATAGTGATTCGGGGTCATGAATGGAAAATCTAGGGTTTTGTATGCATCGAATGTGTGGTTATCGAAGTGTAATGAATAGTGTTCTTTCTTTGAGTTGTCAGAGTAGTTCCTAACAAGTAGGAGATCATTGTTTGCAGCAGTTGTTCGATTGAGGTGTTGGGAAATAAAAGTAGGGGTAGTGATGAGAGAGTACCATGATTTGGATATGCTGATGCATCGAATGAGAGTTTCGATTGGGAGTCTGGTGAGGATATCAATCCACACCTCTTGAGGAATGCAATCTAACATTTGTTCTTGCTGTCATTGTTCTTTGATCTAAGTTTCAGATGAGGGAGCCGAGTATGGATGTTCTCTCCTTAAACCCTCTAAAACCATGCACCAGCTGCGTGCGATTTGCAAAACCCTAAATATAGGTTGTGTTTGGTTTAAGGGAAAATAGAAAGAAAGATGGAAAAAAAAAAGAAAAAAGAGAAAAGGGAAATCCTTTGTTTTGTTATCATTGACAAAGACACTGCAATACCATTAAAACAAATATTTTAAATTCATTTTTTATAAAATAAATATCATAATTAATGCGGAGTGAAAAAATATGATTTCAGGCCTAACTTAGTAGGTGTTTGAGAAATTGCTATTTTAGTAAGTTATTTTAGTTTTTTGCTATTTTAGTAGGTTAAAAGTTTTGTGTTTGAGAAGATGATTGAATTTTTTGTAATTGAATATGATGTTTGTGAGAGAAAAAGTGAAATCATTATGAGTTTGATGTGACGTTTTGTCTTATTAATTATTTTAACTTATTTTTTCTTTTTGTGGATTTTAGCCTAAATTAGGCTAAAATCCCACTTCCCAAACAGCATTAAGTTCAAAGAAGGTAAAATCCAAAAACGTATTAGGCCTAAAAGAAATATCAACTTAAATGAGATCCGACTGAGGCGCATAGAGACAATTAAGGAGAAAGATATCCTTCTAAAAGGTGGATCTTTGGAATTAGGGATGGCAATTTCAACCCGGCCCGACGGGGACTCGATCTCTCGACCCCGATTAGATTGGTTTTTCCCCGAAAAATATCCCCGCGGGTACGGGGATGTTATTCAAAATTGAATCCCCGATCAATTTCGGGCCGGGGACAGGGATAGGCTCATCGGCCCCGGCCCGGCCCGGCCCCGGAATTTCCCCGATTCATCCATGCCTCTATATCTCATTGTATTATATAAATATTATTAGTTGTATTATATTTTGTATTATATAAATATTAGTTGTACTTTTGAAACACTCTCACTGACTCACTCTCTCAACTCTCATTCTCTCTCTCACTCTCTCGTCTCTCTCAGTGTCTCGTCTCTCTCGTTCTTCTCTCTCTCACTCTCACCGACACGGCGTCACTCTCATCGACGCGGCGACACAGTCACCGACTCCTCTCTCTCACTCTCAGTCACCGACACGGCGACACCACCACCACTCTCTCTCACACCTCGTTTGCTCTCTCAGCTCTCATCTTCAGCCGTTGATCGCTGGTCCAGTCTTCGATCTACACCACTACCACCGCTGGTCCAAACTCCGATCTACACCACTACCACCGCTGGTCTAGACTCCGATCTACAGATCTGTTGTTTGAATCTGTTTACTGGATGATGATTATAGATCTGTTGTTTGAATCTGTTTAATGGATGATGATGATTATAGATCTGTTGTTTGAATCTGTTTACTGGATGATGATGATTATGAATCTGTTTAATGGATGATGATGATTATAGATCTGTTGTTTGAATCTGTTTAATGGATGATGATGATTTTTTTTTTTTGTGGATCGGGGAACTTCGGGCTCGGGGAAACCCGATCCCCATAGGGGACGGGGATAGGGACGAGGATAGGTTCCCTGTCGGGGATCGGGACCGGGGATGCGGAAAATTTCACCATCGGGGATCGGGGACAGGGAGTGGGATCCCCGGCCCCGCGATTAGTATACTGACTTGATTATTAGGGAGTCATTCCAATCTACTTTGGTTAGTAATGATCACTGACTTTTGATTTTTCTTGTAGAGGTCAAGAAAGGAGCAAGTAATCTTTTTTTTTTTTCCTGTGAAGATAATTTCACTTTTCACAATTAACTGTATAAAAAAATTGAGAAAATAAATAAAAAGTAAATAAGTAAATTTTCTTTAGTAACAATTAATGGTGTTTTTAAAACATTGAATCGATATTCTAAATTGGTCTCAATTTTTTCTCAAGTTAAAGAGTAATTTTTTTTTTAAAAAAAAATATAGGCACTATCAATTAATTTGCTTTTAATATAAAGAAACGAAAATTTACTCATAACTTCCATATTGAGGAATACTGATCTATTTAGTCTCAAGAATTTTCTTATAAACCAATTAGTCTAATTCATTTTGGTAATGTAGATTTAACATATTCATTGGCATGTGGGTTTATGGTTACACCCTTTGTTTTGTCAAAAATGCTAGAGATCTCAAAATTCTACCAAAATTTTTATCAAATGTCGCACATGAGTGTGGGACTCACATGTGACCCATATTGTGTGGGTCACACAAATGTCACACGTGAGTGTGGGACTCACATGTGACCCATATTGTGTGGGTCACACCTATGTGAGACATTTGATAAAAAAATTGGTAGAATTTTTGGAACCTCTAATATTACTCTTGTTTTATTATGGTTATCTCATGTGTTGGAAAATGGTGCAAAACCAGACACTAAACGGTCGAGTTTGGAGATCCTGAGGCAAGGCACGCGAGCCGAGGCCTCCGGGAACTCCAAACGAACACGAACATGGATAATCACCGAGTGTTCAAACGGTGACGTCCAAGTCTTGAGGACGGTCAAAAATGGGGTGTCTACACTCATGTGTTGGAAAAGTAAGTTACACAATATATATTTTTGAGAGATTCAATATATCGCAATGACATTAATCACTCAAACAACCACATTAAATAGATGGTGCCCGTATTCAACTGATGTTCACCAATAATCACATTAAACAAATGTTACCCACATTCAAATTAGCAAAACTAAACTGATGTTACTCACAATCTAACCACCCACATATACACCAATTTAACAAAATCATACTATTCCTTCACTAACCACATTGAATTGATGTTAACAACATTTAAAAACAATAAATCACCATGCCCCAACAACATGCCAATGTAAAATTGTGTAAATCCATTTGAATTCAAAAGTAAACCCCAACACAACAAACCCACAAATAATAGACGAAAATGTTTTACAAAAAAATCGCATCGCATACATGTTTACATTTAGTTACACATACACAAGCCCACATTAACCAAACCAACATCCATGTTTAAAATAGTTTCCATAATTCTGTGTCACATTCAACAAATTAAATATTCATATCAATCTTAATTAACTAAAACAACAAGCAAATCACATATTCAGTAAGATATACACACATCTCGACAAATAAACACATTTATGGGATGGGCATTATGCCATGTCCCTAAACATACAATAAAGTTCAATAATCACATTCATAAATGCTAATATATAATATACATTAGATAGCTGTTAGTATATAATTAGATATATGCTATATATGCTGTAAAGAGCTATGTATGCTATAAAGGGAAGACTCCACTACCACACTTTCATTATTATGCATAGCTTTCATTATGCTTTTGTCTTCTCCTTTTGGTGCTCTTCTCTATAAATGAGAATCACTCTTGTAACCAACTTATACTGAATATAACATTCATTCAGTGTCTCTATTTTCTCTTTCTCTCTCTACCAATCTTACATTGTATCAGAGCGTAGTTATACATTTCTGGCAATTTTCGGTTTTGGTGCTTAGTCCCGTACATAGTGGCACTACACCAAACAGCTCGGAATCTCCTCACGATTCCAACGGCACCACGCCCGTCCTTAGAAACGCCGTCACGCGCCCACACGCACCGCCTTTGTGCTCGGCGCGCCTTAGTTTCCGCTACCACTCTCACACGCGCCTTTACGCGCCCTCTGTTGCTGCTCACGTCCGCGTCTGATGTCAGCTTTGCTTTTTGCGTGCGCCGCGCCTGCTACTGTGCGCCTCACGTGCACTGCTCTACTATTGTGCACCCGCGTGTGCCAAAACTGCTCCCGTACGCCGCCCCTGCGCTAGTCCGCTACAGTGCGTCGCACGCTTTCCTGCTATCGTGCTCCTCACTGCACTCTGCTAACGTGCGCCGCTGACATCATTTTTTGCCTCTGCTGACGTCATCTCTGCACAACACACCTTTCCTAGCTATTTTCGTCCTTCCGGACTCACTGGTACACTCTGTTTTACCTAATTTTGCTCCTACAGGTCTGCTCCTATTTATTTCGCCCTACTCACATATTATTATGGATTGTCATGATGCCTCCCATCCAATTTCTGTTATTCTTAATGGTTCCAACTATGCTCTATGGGCCCAAGCCATGTCTTCATTCCTCAAAGGAAAGAAGCTCTGGCGCATTATCACCGGGGATGTGACCCAACCGGTGAAAGACACTAATGAAACCACTACTATTGCTACTACTGCTACTGCTACTACTGCTACTACATATGAAGACCGACTTGAGGAATGGGATAGTAAGAACTACCAGATCATTACCTGGTTTCAAAATACCGCCGTTACCTCTATCAGTCTTCAGTTTGGTCGTTTTCAGCTTGACTCTGTAACTACTCCTGCAAAAGACATCTGGGATTTTTTGAAAGAACGATACCAGCCTACTGGTCTTGCCTATCAATATCAACTTCAGAGCCAACTTCACCGCATGTGCCAAGAATCCAATCAGTCCATTAATGACTTTCTTTCTCAAATGTATTCTGTTTGGGACCAGCTTGCTATTTCAGAACCGACTTGGCCTCACCGAGAAGATGCTATTTTATTTACTATCTATCGTAATCAGCAAAGGTTGGTGCACTTTCTCATGGCTCTCACTTTCTCTTTTGAGCCCATACATGCCTCTCTTCTTCATCGCCATCTATTGCCCACTCTTGAACAAGCTATTTCTGAGCTGGTATCAGAGGAGACTCGTCTTGGTACTCTCGAAACTCATCATGTGGACTCTGTTCTTGCCACTCCTTAGTACCAGCCATCATTTACCCAGCGGACCACTGCCTGCCTCTATTGTCAGAATCGGGGCCTTCCTTCAACACATCTCTTGGTCAATTGCCCCGTTAGATCCTGCTGATACTGCAACAAACTTGGTCTGTCATCTACAACAGGATTGTTTTCGCAATCCATCCCGATCATCCTCCAATAGCCACTCCTCTCACGGTGGTTCTTCCCGGGGGAGCTCTCATCGTTTCGGGAATCAGTCTCATCACATTACTGCTGCTGCCTCTGAAGGTTTCTCTGAGTCACCTGCTCTGTCTACCCCTCTATTTTCTCAAACGGATGTAACACTTTCTCTCCCTTTTTGGTACACATCTTCCTATTGCTTTGTCTGTTATCCCAGGTAACTCTTCT